AAATTGGTCACTGAAAATGTTATGAGTAGCAGTGAAATTGATATACTGCCAGAAGATGAGCCTGTCAGGTTGGAATGCTCTCAAAATACGGCTGGGGAAGAGCTGCCTCCTCAAAGCAGAGCTGACTAAGATGTGCTTAATACAAGTCATGGTGTTATGTGACTGCTAACCAGAAAGCTAAAAAATGTTAGCTCTCTTGATGATGTCTTTAGATGTGCCTAGAGATTTTTCTGTACAATTGGTGAGTCTTATTTGTTGAATTAAATCTTTTTTTTTTTTTTTTTTAATACAGTCTTCTATCACTCTCCAGGCAATTATTTGATATTCTATCAGTGCTGAACCATTTATTCTATTAGGTGGGATAGAAAATGTCTCATATCCATTTCTAACTTAATAATAGGTATGATCTGAATCACTCCTCTGTCACCACCCTTGTCTTTCATTTTGTCATACTGTGGCTATAGTGGCGTAGTGGATAAGGCATGTGGAAACTAACCAGAAGATCAGTGGTTCAAACACACCAGCTGTTCTGTGGAAGGAAGATGGGGTGATCTACTTCCATAAAGATTTATAACCTTGGAAACCCAATAGGGGTTGCTATGAGTTGGAACTGACTTGATGGTTATGAGTTTGATTTTTGGTTTCTTTTTGTAGTGGCTTGCATGTTGCTATGCTGGAATGTGTGACACTAGTATTACACATACTAGCAAGGTCACTATGATGGACAAATTTCAGCAGAGCTTCCAGACTAAGAAAACTAAGAAGGATGTGCCAGTCTACTTCTGAAAAAGTTGGCTACTGGAACATTATCTGATATAGTGCCTAAAGATGAGCCCCTCAGGTTAGAAGGCACTCAGTATAAGATCCTCAATGAGATGGATTTATACAGTGGCTGCAATGATGGGCTCACAATTGTGAGGCTGGCACAAGAGCATGCAATGTTTCATTCTGTTGCACATAAGGTTGGTATGTGTTAGAATTGACTTGATGGCATCTAACAACAACTATTTAAGTTGTGTTAAATATGTGCCAAATAGAGTGCCTATTTGTACTTTACACAGTGCACTTATTTAAATTGTGGAAATTCAATTATTCATTGGTAGAGACAGTTCAAAATTGCATTACTATATCTTCTAAAATTTAGGTCAGAACCCAGAACATTTGATTGAGCTCATTTCTGAGCATTGAATTAACCTCATGCTGGGCTTTAAAGTTATGAGTCACCTCTACAAAGATGAAAAAATATTACAGAAAATGACTAAGTAGAAAATAGATATTTTCTTTTTAATAAGAAGCCAAAATAAATAGATTTGCTCACTAAGTAGAACAAGGTTATGGTTATCTAACATTAAGAAAAAAAAACTCAATAATATGTTCAATACAACATTTCAACCTCATAAAACAACTATGCATTCTGCACACTACAGTGACAAAATAAGAATAAAAATTTTATGAGAACAAAATGTACAAAGGTCATTACTTAAAATCTATGATAGACTTTTCATTTAAAGTTTACTGTCCTAGAGCACATTTTTGTAGATCAACTTTCCTTCCAGTGGACAAGAAGTTCATACAACAAAGTGCTTATATTAATAACATGACATACTCAAGATGAGGTAAGTTATTATAAGTAGATAAAATTACAAGAAAACTGTGATTATCTAGAAAGAGACACTGTTTTCATGGTGCCCTAAGGAAGAATGGAAAAGAGGAAAAATCCAATCAGAAACCATATATTTTATCTAAAAAGAAATTGAATTGACTCGTATTTTTTTATTGTTGTTTTTTCTCCACTGAATTGGCTGTTTATATTGACTGACAACAAAAGGAAGTAAAGGCAATGCTTTAGATTATACAAGTTAAACCACACAACAGAGACATCGCAAATATATCTTAAGTACAAGTTGATTCCATATTTCCATGAGGACAAAGCAAAATATTGGACTTTAAATTGATTATTTCTTATCTAACTAGAATAACTTCCAGTAAAATTTAATAACTTCCTCCTTGCTGTCTGTCTATAGGAGCTCTAGTGGTGCTTTAGTTAAGGCGTTGGGCTGCTAACCAAAATGTCAGCGGTTCAAACTCACCAGCTCCTCTGTGAGAGAAAGATGAAGTAGTAAAGATTTACTGCCTTGGAAACTCAATGAGGGTTACTATGAGTCAGAATCAACTCAATGGGTTTGGTTTGTTTCTTTGGTTTCCTTTGTGTATATGTAGGAGCTCTGGTGGCATAGTGCCTAAGGCATTTGACTGCTAACCAGAAGGCTGGTGGTTCAAACCAACCAGACACTCCTGGGAAGGCAGGTTGGGCAATCTACTTCCGTAGTGATACCACCTCGAAAACCCAAGGAGGGGCTGCTATGAGTCTGATCCGACTCGAAGGCAGTGAATTTGGTTTGGTTTTTGGTTCTGTCTATATGTTTCTAATTTTAAATTTTCTCTAAAGGTTTAATGTCTATTGTTTTCTTTCCCATATTAATAGCTATCTCTTACATTGCTGTTATGAAGTATTTATGCCTAATATCCAATAAACCAAAAAAACCAAACTCACTGCCATTGAGTCAGTTCTGACTCATAGCTGCCCCCATTGGGTTTCCAAGGCTGTAAATCTTTATGGAAGCAGACCACCCCATCTTTCTTCCACAGAGTAGCTGGTGGGTTCAAACCACTGACCTTTTGGTTGGCAGCCAAATGCCTTAACTACTACACCACCAGAGCTCCTTAATATCCTATAAATAGAGAAATTATAAATTTGGTATTGTCAAAATGTCAGTAATAACTCAGTCAAAAACAATTTTTCCAAAATATTGCTACCAAAAGGTACATGAGTATAAATGACTCACATTAATTTACATATTCCAACTTGTTCTCATCCTTAATCCCTGCCCATCTTCTCAATAACTAATCTGAGATCAACTGTTAATCAGGGTCAGTTTACTAGAGTATAAACACATTGACTCATAAGTTTAAACAAAAAAAATAAAGGAGCTGATGATTGGCTCCTTCTTGGGAAATAAGCATGTTTTGTGTGGGACTGATATGAAAGAAGGTAGTCCTATTAGAATGAACAATTGCTATTAATTGACAGCTGTTCCAATTTTCACTAAAACTGCTTTATTTGTAAAGTTTAGGATTCAAAAAAATATTACATTAAGTGCTAAACCTTTGGTAAAACAAACAAACTAAACATGAATTACTTCTCTATATAACCGTATTCCAGAATCATATGGAAACAATTGCTGTTGTTGTTAATGTGCCGTGGAGTTGGACCCGACTCATAGCGACCCCTCCTTGGGTTTCTGAGGTGATATCACTACGGAAGTAGATTGCCCAATGGTCATACTTTAATATATGATTATATTGGTTATTCATGGACTCAACAAATATTTTGTAAGCAACCAAATGGGCAAGGCTCTTCGGTAATTGCTGGAACATCAAGAGGAATAAAATGTAATTCTACCTTATTCAGCCTTGTGGATGAGCCAGGCATAGAAATAGATAGATTTAATTCAAGAGCAACAATATATGCATGTTGTGATGAAAAGAGGCAGTTTTTGTGAAGTGTAGAAAGGCATGGAAAGAGAAGGAGGCAACTTGAGGAAGAGGGTGAATTAAGGTCAGAGCAAGGGTAGCTCAATTTGTGTTTGGTATCTCCAGTTAAAATATTGACTGGTCCTAGGCTGCATGCCCTCAGATCCATTCTTCAGCTTTCCCTTGCTCTCCTCTCAGAATGGCTGTCCTCTAGGTTATGGTTCTCAGTCCCCTTTGTCAGCTGGCTTCCAGCTGGGTTTGATCAAGCACTAGTACAAAATTGGGGAATGGAAAGGAGAAACTGGAATATTCCTCCCATCCTTGTGTATCTCAGGACATTTTCCTGATGTTGTCTGTGTCTCTTCCTTGTCTCCTGTTCCCAGCAAAAGAGGTTTGCCCTGGTCTCAGCTTCCTTCTGCTACCTCACTATTTCCTGCTTGGTTTCTCAGCCTCTTGAGTATAGTGTCAATTTTTGGCCTTAGATTTCTTCTATATAAAATATTCAGAGTGATTTCTATTTTCCTGCTTGGACACAGAAAACTGGCAGATACTATTTATCTAAGCCAGCATTCCAGGGATTTGGGCTGTAGAACTCATCAAAATATAGTGAGAGTTGATGAGATGATTATCCAGGGAGATCGTATGTAAAAGGATTGGTGGATAGAGGATGGTATCTTGGGGAACATAGTAACAGGCAGAGAAAGTTTAACCTTTGAATGAGTCCAAAGAAAAATAGACAATTTTGAGGAGAACTAGAAAAAAAATGTGATATCTGTTTAAGTCCATAAGGAATCATAAATGTTGCTTAGAGAATGGCATTTATCAGATGAGGTTTATAAAGGTAGAAAGTTCAATTCAAATATATAAGGGGACCAGATTTGAAACTCACACCTCTTTATTTCCTGTTGAGTGTGATACTATAAACCATAATCATTCTTTTTAATATCATGGGATTTGACTTTATATGTATGGGCTCAAGTCGCTTGCTTTGACCTTGACTTTGTGCGGAAACCCAAGGAGGGGTCGCTATGAATCGAAATCAACTTGAGGGCATATTACAACAACAACAACATCATATATTTAAGACTATCCACTGACTTAAATGAGGTTCCATGGTTAGTTTTCTATTTGAATGGTACTTTAAACAAAATTTTTAAATTAGTTAATTTTCCTTTGAGAAAGTCTGTTTTATTTTTCTTGCCATTCTTCTAATCTTTTTTCCCTTTTCTATTTCCAGTTTCCCAAAGGACTTAAATTTTGAATATGACTGAGGAAATTATAAAATTGTTAAATAAACTGACAAAGCCACTCTCATTTAATAGATAACAATGACTTACTGCCTAGTCCTTTTGCCACTCGTCCTTAGATATTTACATTTGTATTAAAAGAAAAACAATCAAACACTTAATAGTGTAGCAAGTACAAGTAGATTCAAGCAGAATCCAGTACTATAGCTTTTAACTTACCTTCAGCATCTGTTAGTCCTGGCTGTTTTACAGGCTCTTGCCCATTCTGACCCATCTTTCCTCTGTTTTAAAAGAAAAGAAAAGTTTGTATATTCAGGCATGACCACCTGAATGCAAATGAGTAAGCCAAGTTCACAAAAAAAGCAAAATGACATTATATATTCAGACTTGCAATAAATTATTTGAATGACAAATATACATACACAAATTGCTGTATATCATGTTAAAGTGGGAAATTGTCTATTACTCCTATTTAATCCAAACACAATACGTCAAAATTCATTAAATCTTATTTGTTGACTCATTTATCAAAGATCAGTTCATCATGCAATTTTAAAGTTGGAAGGTTGTTTTATTTTATTCTTTTAACTAGTAATGTGAGAAGGGGAATATCTTCACATTTTTTGTACCAATGAATTTTTATTGATTCTTTGGTGAGAAGGGGAATCTTGAATTAATAAAAAGCTTACAATTAACTTGCAAAATAATATTGTAACACATAGATTTTTATTTTACTTCATAACTTGCAGTTCTGTCTTTTGTTTCCAGCTGTGGTTAGCAAACTGGCTCTTCAAGTTAAACTGCTTTGGCTCTGCTTCTGGCTTCAGCTGTTTCTTGCTACGTATAATTTAAGGCAAATTTGCTTAATGTGGTCAACACCTTCTTTTATAAGATCTCTATCTCTATCTTTCTATATATTAGTGACAAGGGACAATGCTGCAGGGACTTATTTATGACACTTTGGCTCTTTTGAGTTGAGAATATTGATAATGTAACAGCCAAAGGACTGTAGGTCACTTGTGATTTCTGCAGTCAGGAAGAACTACATAGCATACAAAAGGATTTGTAATTACCTTTATATGCACTCATAGAAGATGTTCTAAAAAGATATAATAGAAGCTCTTGAATGTTAAAAAGAATGAACAAAGGAACATCTTGATAGTATACTTTCCAGACAGTAATTCTTTAACATGGCAGGATATACTAACAACTAATTCTTACTATCACAAAAAGTAGTTGCTTTGGTGGACCTGCTGATAAAGTAACTATATAACCATATATATATACACACACATATGCACATATGTTGTTATTGTTGTTTGCCATCGAGTCAGACCCAACTCATAGTGACCCCTCCTTGGGTTTCCGAGGCAGTATCACTACGGAAGTAGATTGCCCCATCTTCCTTCCGAGGAGTGGCTGGTGGATTTGAACCACCAGCCTTCTGGTTAATACACACACACACACACACACACACACACATTTATTTATTTATAGGAGCTCTGGTAGCATAGTGCCTAAGGCACTTGACTGCTAACCAGAAGGCTGGCGGTTCAAACTCACCAGCCACTCCTTGGAAGGAAGATTCGACAATCTACTTCCGTAGTGATACTGCCTCGGAAACCCAAGGAGGGGTAGCTATGAGTTGGGTCCGACTCGACGGCACATAACAACAACAACATATTTTTTTTTCTTAAGAATCAGTTATATCTTGCTTGAAAACTGCTCCAAATATTTTATTATTCTACTCAACAGAAGCTGCTGAATGAAGTCTGCATATAATGAAAGAGTAACAGATATAAATTCAGAAATTATTTTGTTAAGTTGAAAGTCATTACATTGTTCTGTTATGACATTTCTAGATCTAAGATTTAGGCACCTATTTTTATTAAGTGATGATCAGAGGGACGAAGTCATGTGAAATGTTAGAAACTAGCTATCGATCATCTATTTATGTATGTATGCATAGTTTTCAACTGAATATATACAGCAGGAGTCTTATATAAGCAATTGCAAAAGTTCAATTTCTGTAATTGCTTCAGTGAGAACATATCATCCCAACAGACCAAGGTTTGAAGACAAGCACTTGATGAGTAATTAACAAACAACTCAGATCTGTCTGTTACTATTAGAGAAAAAGAAAAGCTTAATCACTCAGCAGCTGTCCTGGTGGTGTGAAGGAAGTTCTACCCTGTAACATCAGGTTGCTGTGAGTTGTAAGCTATTAGTCGAAATTGACCTGAGGGCATGCCTCTCCACACACTAAACAAACCCAGTTCAAAGTGAGGGTCTATTTAGTACTGCAAATGTGCCACATGGTGATCCTGGGAGCAAGGTAGCAATTGAGAAAATGGAAAAAGTATCATTCTCATACTATGCCAAGTTAAAAAAAAAAGTTAAATGATTTTTAGATTTATTATTGAATCCTAGATTTCTTATTATAGTGGTGATATTTGATTTCAGTCTTTGCTTCTAATGAATATTGATTTAATATTAGGCACATGGCTAAAATGTGTATTCAGTGTATTTCTATGATTATACAGGAAACTTTTGCAGCACTGATAAGACTAGTGAAACACAAAAGAAATGTAGCTTTTGTGTGGTGTGAAGAATTAAATTTTTCTTAATTCTCAATAAATAATCCTGAATTCAGACCATTCTGACTCCAAATTTTGTAACTTATATCTGTTACTCAACCAAATATTTATTGAACATTTTTTTTTACTCAATCAAGAAATATTTATTGAACATTTATTGTAGGCTAGCCACTAATTGTGTTAAACAATGGGGCAATTAAAAGAAATACCACAAACTATTTCTCTTTTACATCTTGGAGCAACTTGTTGTTGTTGTTATGTGCCGTGGAGTCGTACCTGATTCATAGTGACCCCTCCTTGGGTTTCCGAGGCAGTATCACTACGGAAGTAGATTGCCCCATCTTCCTTCCTAGGAGTGGCTGGTGGGTTTGAACCGCCAGCCTTCTGGTTAGCAGTCAAGTGCCTTAGCAACTATGCTACCAGAGGTCCCTTAGAAAAGTGAATTTTCTTTATACTCATGTGGAAAAAAGGCAAAAAAAAAAAAAAAAAAAAAAAAGTCCTGGATCATTTTGAAAAGCTTTCTTTCATAAAAGAAACAGGAAAATGGAAGGAAAAATTGAAAGGTGATATGTATGTAAAAACTGCATAATCTTCTAGCTCAGAAATTCAGATATTGAGCACATAATGTAGTTTACTGTCTGGAAGTTATAACTTTTTCATCAGTATTTAATGGTATGTGTATATATATACATTTGAGGAAAAACATAGCTTATTTGTATTTAAATGTTCCTTCACTGTTTGACAATGCAGTGATCTCACTGAAAGGTACCAGGGATTTGAGTTCATAAACATTTTCTTCACGTCCATGGTACTACATGAAGCTGCCAAAGATTACATCTTAGGTTCTTTCACTTCTTTCCCACAGACATGAGCACAGAAATTCTCGACTACATATGTAGAATTCAAGTGTCTGATCTCATGTGAGAACAGTCACAAATGTCATCAATCTTTCTAGTATATTTTCAGAAGTCCTGACAGCTCTGTAATCTGTAAATGGAGTAACTTCATTAATTCTAATTATGTCAGAAGAAGAAAGTAAAAATCGCACAGAGGCTTTTTTCTTCATAACAACATGTAATCTTAACTGTGCACCAAAGATGGTGCTTGTAGAGAGTCTAAGATGTCAGACTGTTTTGGAGAGTATTAAAAACTGTGTAAAAAATAAAGTATTTTGTTCTTTCTAATCATAAGTTTTAGACAATAAAAATCTGTAACCATGCTTACTGTCTTCACAATAAAAAGGAAGATAAATCGTCCAGAAGACATAATCGACATAAATAAACTGGTAATTTAGGTACCCCTCTATTTGTTTTGTCAATTGAGTGTCTTTAGTTATTGCCTGAATCATAATTGCTACATCGCCACCAATTTTTTTTCTTTTTATACCTGTGGTTTGGGTGAAAGTTTACAGAGCAAATTAGTTTCCCATTCAACAATGTACACGTGTTTCTTTTTGTGCCATGAGTTGCAATCTCCTCAATGTAACAGCACTCTTCCCACCTCCTCCCTTGCTCCCTGTTTCCATTCTTTCTTCTTTCCTGCCCCTTACTGCCTTCTGAGCTTTTTTTTTGGACAAATACTGCCCCTTGGATCTCATATGGTTGATTTTTCTGAGGACTCTCTTCCTCACTGATGTTATTATTCACTGTATAGGCCTATCTATTGTTTGGTGGAAAGGTGATGCCCAAGGGCAGGTTCAGTCCCAGGCTTGAAGGGTGTCTAAGGGCCATAGTCTCAGGCATTCCATCAATCCTTTTCAGATTAGTAAATCTGGTCTTTTTTATGATTTTGCATTTTGTTCTGCATTTTTCTCCTACCCTGTTCAGGACCTCCTATTGTGATCATGATTAGAGCGATTGGTGGTGGTATCCCAACACCATCTCATCTGGTTGTTCTGGTGTCAGGCTAGTGGAAGCTGGGGTTCTGTGGCCCATTAGCTCTATGGACTAATTGTTTCCTTGTGCCTTTGATTTTCTTCACTCTTGTTTACTCCAGTCAAGGAGAGACCAAGAGTTGCATCTGAGATGGCTGTTTACGTGGTTTTAAGACCCCAGTCACTACTCACCAAAGTCAGGTGCAGAACATTATCTTTGTGGACTATGTTATGCCAATTGACCCAGATGTCTCCTGAGATTGGAGTCCTAAGGCCCGAATCCCAGCGACCCATTCCCTCAAGATGTTTGGTTGTGGCTAAGAAGTTAGCATAACTTTGCTCTTATAATGCTCTACTGTATACATGGATATATTTGCAGCACATACAGATACATATGTAGAAATATCCTCTGCCCAATCTAAATATACTCATGGGTGTAATCCCATGCTAAATTATGCATTTTGAAAGGTATGTATAAATTGGAAAGCTATTAAGTTACTTGTGCTGCAAAACCTTTATAAATTCATATAGTGTCCACAGTTTAGGAACAGGAATCTAATGAATTTGCTGAAATTCTTTCCGGTGAAGCTGGATCATCAGGGACTAAGGACTAATGTGATTAGTTTTCTTTCAGAAATAATTTCCAATGAAATATAACAGACCAGATACAAATAACTCCATTGAATTCATGGCCTGACACAATTTTAAAAAAAAGAAAGGAAAGAAAAAAACAAGATGGACAGATGATCCAGTAATAATTAACATAATTTAAGTTTGGGAAAAATGCAAGCAGAAATTTACAAAATGATTAAACTCAGTTTTCCCTGTAAAAATTCATTTTCCTCATTATTTAGCTTTTGTTAATTGAGCCATTATCTAAATTTGTGGGGATCAAAAGGAAAGTTCTAAAAACCTTGGCATTAAAACAAGGAGAAATGGAAGATTTAGCCATGAGAAGGCATCATTTTTCACTGAAGAAAACGAGAAAGACCCTTCAACAAGAGCCAAGATCAAGGGTTGGCTATCTTTCTCTGTAAAGGCCCAGAGAGGGAATAGTGTAGATAATCTTTGTCACGACGTCTGAACTCTCTCCTTACAGTACAAAAGCAGTGATTTGCCAACACATAAATGAATGGGTGCTGTTGTGTTCCAATAAAGCATTATTTATGGGCATTGAAACTTCAATTTCATATAATTTTAATGTATGAAATAATCATGACATTTTAATAATCGTGAAATTATTCCCTTTTGATTTTTAAAAAATATTTTAATTTCCCTTAAACATTTAAAAATGAAGTCCTTCTTGATCCTTGCAGCAGACAGAATTTGTCCTGGCTTAGATATTTCATGCTGGGTGATACAATGGGGTCTGAAAATCCAGAAGACTGGGTAGTGGAGTAGAACAGACAAGTTTGGGAAGTTTAGGTTTCAGTCTTAGAACAGACATAATCGATATATTTATCTTGGATGCCCTTAATTTTGCCATCAATATGATTAAATCAGGAGCTCTGGTGGCATAGTGCCTAAAGCACTTGACTGCTAACCAGAAAACTGGCGGTTCAAACCCACCTGCCACTCCTCAGAAGGAAGATGGGGCAATCTACTTCCATAGTGATACAGCCTCAGAAACCCAAGGAGGGATCTCTGTGAGTCAAGACCACTCAATATGTGGAAATTATGCCACTATGATTAAATCTATTCCAATACATTCTAAACATAATCTAGTTTTGCACTTGATTTTTCTCCAAGGTTAATGTATTACCAAAGGAACTCTGGTGGCATAATGGTTAAAGCTCTTGGCTGCTAACCAGAAGGTCAGTGATTGGAATACACTTCCATAAAGATTCACAGCCTAGGAAACCCTATGGGGAAGTTCTACTCTATCACATGGGTTTGTTATGAGTTGCAATCCAGTCAGTGGCACAGAACAACAAGAATAACAATTTATTACAAATGAGCTTTTTTCAAGTAGTCTAATAATAATAAGAGACAAATAAACTAGCAGTGTTTTTTTTTTTCAGAAAATACTGAACTATTTCAAGATCTTAAATTTTAATATAGAGAGAATTATAGTTGAAATGTATATATGATTACACAATGTGCTATCTATTTCAAATACGATATATAGGTTATTTAAGTATCTCCTGATTAAAATAAATTAAAGTGACTCTATTCATCTCAGTTACCAATAATGTTTGTGTTTGGTCATTATGTGATTAAAATATGGATGTACTGGCCCTGACCTTGATTCAGTAATGGCCAAGCTATTATTTCAGCAGTTTTCCTATTAAATACAGATTATACTGATTTAATAGCCTTGACAGTGACCAACATTCAGCTTTAGAATTAATGGAAATAATCCAATCTTTCCTGAACAGTCTATTTTTTCTGTAGGCATAAATAGTTCAAATGTTTTAGGGTCAATGACTCAGAATTGGATAACAGTTTAGTTATTTGCTGTTAAATGTTAAGAAGACCTTTCTCATGATGCTGTTAACTTTGCAGAGGAAAAAAAAAAGAGTAACTTACATCCTTGGAATAGGAAATACATTAGTCTCCCCTGCGGTGCTGCTGCTCCCTTCACTGTCCACGCTATATCCGCTGCCAAAGCTGCTGCCGGACGATCCGGTGGACACGGAGCTTTCTGCAGGCCGGTGATTGGTAGGCTTTGCTGCATGGTGTAGGAAGAGTCAACACCACAGTCAATAAATAAAGCCTGCACTGATCCCTTCCCGCATAATGATATGTGTTCTCAATCTACATGAATAAAGAAACATAGCTATCACAAGAACTCTAAGTATCTTAACCTTTCTTTCATTTTCATTTCCTTAACTAATAGGGTACAATAATGACATTACATTACTTTATTCTTTGTGTTGGACATAAAGGAAAAACAATCACTTCTATGGAAAAACAATTTAGTTTTTAGACTGGGTTAAATAGGATGTAACTATCTTATTATTATTAAAATGTTGTGGTGGTTGGTTTGTTACAGTATTATTATAGTGATATGGCAAGCAAGTATTTTGATTGTCTCATGGAAAAATGAGTTTAGAAAGATGGTAGATAGAAATAATGGGATAAGGGGAAAACAATGAAATTATTTTCCTTATTAATAACCAATAATCTCTTTTTTCTCCTGAGAATTGAACATGCAAAACAGAATAGATAATTGTGCCAAGTGATTGAAAATTCTGGGCCTGTTTGTATGTAGGTGTACAAACTATCTCCAGCAGCTTTTGAAAATTTAGAGATATTTGTTTCCTTTTTAGGCATTTTCTAGGTTGGGATTGGAACTTGGTTCAAAATTTTCATATGTTTGATTTGTGAATATTAGAAAGCATATTTCCACAGATACACTTTCAGTTTAGATTGGGGCATAGTACTAACACTGGTAACAGAAGTCTAGATTACAGGAGATTAGAGAAGAACTTTTGACCCAAAAAGAGAAAAGAGAAGGCAAAAATGTTCCCTCTTATTTTGTAGAGGGGAAGCCTCCATTAGGCAAAATTTTCAAAGGGTTGATATTTGTTTTCAGACACATGGTAAGAATTTAAGAGCATTAATTTGGGTTGTAATGATCGGATTTTGATTCTTAATCCACTCTGTGGTAACTCTAAGAAGTCTCAGATTTTTCACTTGAAAAAGGGGGGGGGGCGGGCAATAATATCTACCTCATAGGACTGTGATTGTGGGAAGGAAGGGAGGTAAAGCAGAGACTCACTGACTTTTTCTTTCTCTTGTGGTTTTATTTGCCAAACCCCCAACTTCTTCTCCAGGGCTTTGGTGTCAACGGCAGTTCCCCAGTGCCCTGAACCCAGGCCCTGACCATGAATTCTTCTTGATTCTATTCTATATCTAGATACACTCTAGGCAACACAACTACTCTTTTCCGCCATAAATACACCCCTGTTCCACTAGGAGTTTCTCAGTCAAATGAGCAAATTCATACAACTGAGTGAATCGCTGATAATTTTTCACCAATTTTAAAGTGTCCACATTTTTCTTAAGACTGTTATAAAATCGTAGTGACGATGAACATGGTGGAATTTCAACCACTCTGACAGAATGAAGTGAAAAATGTAGACAACTGTGTGGGAAAACACTTGAGGCCAGGAAAGCACCTGTCTCCTCTTCAGGATAAAGTCTTCTAAAAGAGTTAGCTTGCGCCAAGTTCTTCACTCCTTCCACTATATCATTAACATATTCTCAGAACCACCAAGAATCTTCACCATCTATTCCAGTACCCTTTTCCCAGAATAAGGAATTAAGGAAAAAAGATTGAAAAATTGGACAATTACCTATCAGGTGTCTACAAATTGGAGACAGGTATGTAGAAAAAGACCTGAATCACATTAAAGATCCAATTACCAATGAATTGTTACCAACCCATGGAACTAGACTTATGGAAACAGAATTACATTTATAATGTTTGTTTCATAACCTCTTTAAATTATGTAGATGAAACCTAGATAAATATAATGTATTTATTGTTAAAGAAAAGACAAGATGTTATCGAAGGATAATTTGTAAAAATTTAAAGGTAATATGACTAGGATATAAAACTATGATCATGCATAAAGGAAATAAAACTGTATAATGAACCACACAATGAGGCAGATTAGTCAATGACTTATAAAGAAAGAAAAGCTGTCATACTTTTTGACGGAGATTGTATAATCAAACAACAAGAATGTTAATGTTTTTCAGCATGACACTAAAAACCTTTAATAGTATCAAATGGAAAATCTTCATATATTACTTTCAAAGACAATCCTTAATTAATTGACATTAATATATTATCAGTTTCTCCTTATTAAATTAAAACAATTTTCATCCAAGAGAAATCCCACAATGCATCAGAAAACTACATTATAGAAATAACACCTTACTTATTTATATCTCAAAATGTTCAGCCTTTCTTCTGTCAACTTTGAGTTTACCTGATGGAATTTCTGGTTCTATTACTCTTCTGAGCAATTTGAGAAATGTGTACAGAATGTAACACAGCATAACCAGACTGAAGAAACAAAGCTAGAAATAAATTTAGACAAATTTTTCATCTTGTCTATTTCCCATGAACAGAAATCTCTTTGGAAAGCTTGTGGAAGTACAGTCAATATTTTAAATACAAGCAAATAATACTTTATAAGACATGTAAAAAGAAAAGAAAATCAAACCAAGGAATATATACATATACTGGAACAAGTCTAAATCTGTCTAAAATCTTTGCAACACAAACATACATTGAAGGTCAAGTGTCTAGAAATTTTAGGTATTTAGAAGTCAGGTGAATAATTTAAATGAATCTAGATATGTGGTATTATCTTAACAAAATATGTGGATGTCTGATTTAATTTTTACTTTTAACCTGGTATATAAATGCAGTGTAGAAACAGCCTGCCATTTAGTTAGTTTCTGGAAGTGAATTAAATTAAAACTCAGAATGAACATTCCCTTTTTACCAGACTATGTCTACATACTATAAGATTTTGATAAGCTGTATGAAGAATACCAGTATTTTAATAGTCATTTTTCAGAAGCCACATGTATATTTTCTAGTAGTATCTTTGCACTGAAAAAGCCCCCAATTGAGCAAACATCAATTCTACTATATTGAGCTAAATACAACTTATTAACAAATAAACTTATTAACATTCCCATAAACTTATTGACATTAACACAAACTCATTAACAAATACAGTGCTTTAGGACATTACTCAGTATCTGAGGCTGGATCTTACATAAATTTCAAGATCGCAGCCAAATTCTTTAGTCTGTCTTTTTCCTTGGCTCCTTTCCAAATTTATCACCCATCATTTTCCTTCATATACCTTACATCAAAGTCTGATCAGATCATTCACTCTGGTTATCTTTTTTTCTCTAGCATTTTCCCTCTTCCATGCCTTAGTTGAGACTGTTCTTTTCCACTTTGCTGTGTCCTCTTCTGTCCCTGTTACTTTCTTATATCTAAATTTATATTTTTCATAAAGGCCCACCTCAGATATCCATCACTTCATATATTTCTCTGGTTTTCCCAAATAGAAGTGAATTCTCTAAACTCTGGACCTCAATGGTATGTGTTCTGTGTATCTAATACAGCCATTATAATTGTTTATTTTTGATAGCAGTTTTTATGTACACACCATTATTGAAAGCTCTTTGGTAGCCTCCTTAAAAACTTGCCCTAATTCATGTTCAAGCAATATATAATGAATAAGTATTAACAACTTATTCATTATATATAACAATACTTCCTTCAGTCAACTGAATAGCTACAGTATCAGAATGATTTACCAGATATTTCACTTTTTATCCAGCTGTAGGTGTTTGTTACAAATCGTAGGTCCCTTATCAAGAAGGACAGTGGGATGCTTTTCCCATGTTCTTTGTCAAATGAAATTTTGAAGATCCAATCTTTTTTCGTGGCTTTTAAAATCATAGTTAACATTTTTAATCTGCCTTACGTTGTAAACATGTGGTCAGTTAACAAGATGTGTTATCCTAATCTTGCCAAATCTAGTTTGATTGAAAGAAATATTAATAACAGTACATTAAACACTGGAAGCATAGCTTCATGATTTTTTTAAAAAGTCATAACAGACAATAAACATATATATTTTTTAAAATTGGAATGACTAAAGAAATATGTATAGTAACATTCTAGGGAAGACACCAGAGGGTGCTATAATATGACAGCTGGTGAGCTCTGATTTATATTTAAGTGTAATTTCCCTCTTCATATGTTCTTGAAAGGCGCTCTGGTGGCGTAGTGGTTAAGCTATTCGGCTGCTAGCTGACAGGTTGGTGCTTCGAACCCACCAGCTGCTCCGTGGAAGAAAGATGAGGCAGGCTACTTCCGTAAAGATTTACAACCTTGGAAACCATTCTACTCTGTCCTACAGAGTTGCCTGATGGCAGTGGTTCTTTCTTTTCTTTTTCTAAATGTTCTTTAAAGAAAAAAATATTTTCAAACTTTATGTAATTTTATAATTTCTAAATGAAATAAAAATTCTACATCTTGTTTATTCTTCCAAATTTTTCAGAGCTTCAGAAACCATGGACCTAGTTGGACCCGATTCTATGGCAGTGAGTTTGTTTTTTGGGTTTTGATTATGTATGGATATATTACGCACTTGCATAGTATATATGAGAAATGTTTATTTTACTGAAGAATTGAGGTTCTTATTAAAAAGCGCAGTTTCAGGGGGAACTCTTGCTTCATGAGTTAAATCTTTTTATTGTGGATACTTTCTCTTTGAATTTTTAATTTGCTACCAATTACCAGCTAAAAGAAAGAGTGGCTCACATAAATACATGATGCAGTAAGACCTCTTCTATATAGAGCATCCCTGTGCCTTAGAGGACTAAATTCTAGAGTACTGAATTCTTTTTCTAACTCAGTCAGTGAGAAGGCATTTCATTCCAGTGTCTTCTATATGGCAATTCATCTGTTTAAAATTATTCTTTGATCTCTTAATTCTCTTAGATGGTTAGACATTATTTTGTTTTATTACTCCACTGTGGCTAAACTTAATTAAACCTGTGGGTGTCTTTTTGCACACTTGTCTTCAATTAGTTTGCTCTATTGGCTCTCCCCCACTATTCTTAAACATTCAAAACAAGAGCTGTACCTACCACACGATGGCAGCACTATACTAAGAGCCCACA